TGAGGATCCAACCTTGTGCTTGCTAGGCAAGCACTCTACCACTGAGCTAAATCCCCAACCCCAATTGTTGAGTTAATGGGCCTCCGCAAATTCAATACTCCTACCTCCTCCCCTCAATCCGGCTCTCTCTGCTTCTCTCCCTTAAAATAACTGCTTTTCTAGCTTGCTTACATGTCTGCTTTTCTCAGAACCCAACTGAAGCTGCCAGCTTCCCTCCCACCCTCCTCCTCAGGGAGCTCTTGGTCCCCTCCATGCCTCCTCCTCCCCCTCTGCTGGGGACCATCCTAAAAGCTTGCTTCCTCTTCCTGCCCTCTGACCTCTGCTGCCCAAAGGCTACTGCTGTGGTTTGGCTATGAAATGTCCCCTACAGGTCCGTGAACTCTTGGTCTCCAACTGGTGGCTCTGTTTGGGGAGGTGGTGGAGCATTTGGGACACCTGCCCAGTTGGAGGAAGTGGGTCCCTGGGCAGCAGGCTTCAAGTTTGCAGCCCAGCCCTGCTTCCTGTCCTGTCTTTGTTTCTGCTTTCCTGTCACACCCAGATGTGAGGAGGCCAGCTGTTCCAGTCCTGTCTGAACCTTGTCTTCTTGCCCTTGGTGAACTCCAAGCCCTAAAGCTTTAATCCCAATAAATCCCCCTTTCTCAAAGACGCTTGTGTGAGGGGTTTGTTCACAGTAACAAGAAAAGCAACTCATCTAGACAATTCTACCCATCCCCAGGCCAGCTCCAGGACCACTCTGCACACCCCCGACTCACCCTGTGACATCTTTTGACTAGCAGAAGTTGAGTCTTTTGGGTTTTGTTGCTGTTGTTTTATTTATTTATTTTTTTGAGGAAGACCAATTTGTTCTTATTTATCTTATGGTTATTGCTGTGCCCTGACTGGCAAATCTTTGCTGACTTCTGGTTTCCAGTTGTATAGCACGTCTTTTCACCTTGTTTTTCTTTCCAGTTCTGTGCCTTTATATTTTATTTACTTATGTGCTTGCTTATTTACGGGCTCATATGTGCTGTGATTTACATGTAAAGGTTACAGAATAACTTGTAGGATTCAATTCTTTGCTTCCACCATGCAGGTTCCGGGCATCAAACTCAGCTTGCCAGCCTTGGTGGCTGGCAAGGGCCTTTACCCACTGAGCCATCTTGCCAGTCCTGTACCTCTCTCTGCCTTTCTTCTTGGTTTTTCAAGACAGGTTTTTCAAGACAGGTTCTCTGTGTGACAGCCCTGTCTGTCCTTGAACTCACTTTATAGACAGGCTCGCCTTGAACTCACAGAGATCTGCCTCCTGAGTGCTGGAATTAAAGGCGTGTGCCACCACGTCCTGCTAAAGAGGACTTTTTTGATGACAGAATACAGCTCTCAAGACTTTCCAGGTGATGAGCTTTATTTTTTTAAAACAGCCCTGGATTTTTGGAGTGTTTTTGGTCCATCTAAATTTAATGGGAAGCCCTGGGATTATTAATATTTTTAGCTCGGAATCTGTCGTCTCCTTGTTTTACATTTGTTCCTATGTTCGGTATCTCCTTTGCCTTCATGCAATCACCTCCATTACTTTCAATATTTCATCATCTCTCCTCCGTTGGCTTTTTTTGGTGTTCCTCCTTGTTTTAGATTTAATGGTTGATCTATGGAAACAGTATGCATATATCATCGACTGTGGTCTACTTGCCGTTAATATCATATCAACTCATGTGGGAGGCACAGAGGGTCTTGCGCTCACAGATGAGCATTAGGGGAACGAAGAATGTTAAACACATGGAGTTGTCCCTTAAATGGGGGCGGGGGGCGGGGATGTATAACCTGTTTTCTGCCCAGAAGGCTAAGAGTGGATGTGGTTCCTAGCCTGGCGACCTTTGCACCATCTGTATGAGCACATTGGATGCTCCACCGGACCTGTATCATGAGTTTGTCAATCTATAGAACCTCTCTTTTACAGAAGGTGTCACATGTACTTAATGAAAATTTCAATGTAGTAATGTCTTAAGCTTTTTTTTTTTTTTTTTTTTTTTTTCTTTTTCAAGACAGGGTTTCTCTGTGTAGCTTTGCGCCTTTCCTGGAACTCGCTTTGGAGACCAGGCTGGCCTCGAACTCACAGAGATCCGCCTGGCTCTGCCTCCCGAGTGCTGGGATTAAAGGCGTGCGCCACCACCGCCCGGCTTTTTTTTTTTTTTTTTTTTTTTTTAAAGATTTATTTATTTATTATGTATACAGCATGTATGACTGCAGGCCAGAAGAGGGCACCAGATCTCATTACAGATGATTGTGAGCCACCATGTGGTTGCTGGGAATTGAACTCAGGACCTCTGGAAGGGCAGTCAGTGCTCTTAACCTCTGAGCCATCTCTCCAGCCCCCGTCTTAAGCTTTTTTGTGCACATGGGATTAAGTTAATTATCACTAGGAAATTTTTCACCAAATTGTGCTATGCTTAAACACACCTAAAATAAACTGCTTGGGGTCAGACTCCTGAAGTTGAACCAACACTGGCTACTGAGTCGTGCTGAACCTAACTACTTTCTTGCCTCCCTCAGATCATTACTCTGCTGGTCATGGTGGTTGCAGAGATCCCTGCAAACTCACATAACAGGAAATAAGACATGAATATCAGCATATTCCTATTCACGTCTACCCATCATTTCTTTTTTTTTTTTTTTTTTTTTGGTTTTTCGAGACAGGGTTTCTCTGTGTAGCTTTGCGCCTTTCCTGGAACTCACTTGGTAGTCCAGGCTGGCCTCGAACTCACAGAGATCCGCCTGGCTCTGCCTCCCGAGTGCTGGGATTAAAGGCGTGTACCACCACCGCCCGGCTACCCATCATTTCTTAGGGACATTTTCCTTCTATGTAAGTTGTTGTACATTCTACATGACATTATTACTTTTGCTTTAAACTATCAATTACATTTTTTAAAATTAAGAAACAAGGGAAGGGGGCTGGAGAGACAACTTAGTGACTAAGAGCAAATACTGCTCTTGTAAAAAATCCGTTTGTTTTCCAGCACTCATGTTGGGCAGCTCACAACTGCCTGTAACTCCGGCTCCAGGGGACATGATGCCCTCTTGTGGCCTCTGTGGGCAATGCACTCACGTGCGTATACACATTTTGCTTCTATTCTGGAAGCCATTGGCCTGGATGTACAATTCCAGGTCGATCGGTGTTGTCTTATTTACTTTCTCTCAGCACTTTCAATAGGATATTATATTTTCTTCTTGACTATTATATGTTATTTCTAACCAAAAGTGGATGGTTCCCTCTGTTCTCCAGTGTGTAATGTATTCTTTGGTTCATCTCTCACCAGCTGTGAGTAGCTCTGCCTACTTTTAAAAAAACTGGAGAGGGAGCAGTTTTAGTTTAAGCAATTTGAATGTGACATGTGTATATGTTATTTGTGTTCATTCAGTTTATGTTGTTGTGATACAACATTCTGACCAAAAGCAACTTGGGGAGGAAAGCGCTTATTTGGCTTATAGGTTAGTCTGTCATTGACAGAAGAATCAAGGAAGGAACTCAAGGCAGGAACCTGGAGGCAGGAATCGAAGCAGCTACCATGGAGGAACACTGCTTACTGGCTTGATCCTCATGGCTTGTTCAGCCTGATTTATTATATAACCCAGGACAATCTGCCTAGGAGTGGCACCACCCACAGTGAGCTACATCAATAATCAAGGGAGAAAATGCTCCCACAGACATTCCCACAGGCCAAACTGTTGGAAGCAATTCCTCAGTTCAAGTTTCTTCTCAGATGGCTCTAGTTTGTGTCAAGTAGACAAAAGCAAACGGCATAATAGCGATACCATTCCTGGATATATATCAGAAGGACTCTGGATCAACACACCACAGAGATACTTGCTTATCCATGTTTATTCTTCATTCACAACATTCAAGAAATGGAACCAGCCTTGATACCCATCCACAGACAAATGGATAATAACATATGACATGACACATAGAGACAATGGAATTATGGAGCCAGAAATCATTATGTTAAGCAAAATAAGCCAGGCCTGGAAAGACAAATTTCACATTTTCACTCACATACAGAATCTAATTTAATAGTGTGTGTGTGTGTGTCTGTGTGTCCACGTGTGCCATACCCATGGAGACTAGAAGAGGGTGTCAGATGCCATGGAGCTGAAGTTAAAGGCTGTTGTAAGCTGTCCAATTTTAGTGCTGGGAACTGAACTCTAGTCCTCTGGAGGAGCAGTGTGTGATCTTAAATCATGTAGTTTTAATTTGCAATTTTCTTACTGTAGGCAAATCTGAGTATCTTCTCAAAGTATTAAAAGCCACTGGCCCACCTTCTCCATGGACTTGTAGAAAGATCACTAGTGTGTTTTTCTACAGACTATTGGCCTGCTTTGGCTCCTTCTTTAAGCTCTTCATATGCCAGATGTATGGACTCTGCTGTGCTGGAGTATTCCTGCCAGTTCGTCGTTTGTCTTTCTGCGTTGATTATGAACAGTCGGTGAATTAATCGGGCTACCCACATACCCCTATTGCATGTGGACTTGGAGCTGTGGTTAGAAGCACAGCCTCCTTTCCTGGGCTGGAGAGTTAGTTCAGCAGTGTTTTCTTCTAGTATTTCTGTTTCTGCATTTCAGCTTCTCATGGTGAGTGACATGAAGAATGGATCCAGCGTTATCTTTTCTCTATGTAACTCTAATCTTCTGAGTATTCTTTCCCTGACTGGTTTCATCTGTCGCTTTTGTAATATTAGCTTAATTTGCACATGCGATCAGGTAATTTTCTGACTTTCCCATTCTGTTTTGTTCCAACTGCTGATGCTATGTAGCAGGTTTCAGGTAACATTGTGTACATGTGTGGGTGGGTCGGGGAGGTGGAGGTATGTGCATGCTCACTCACATAGGCATATGTGGAGGCCAAAGGTTGATGTCAGGTATCTTCCTTAACTGCTTTTCTTCTTCTTCTTCTTCTTCTTCTTCTTCTTCTTCTTCTTCTTCTTCTCCTCCTCCTCCTCCTCCTCCTCCTCCTCCTCCTCCTCCTCCTCCTTCTTCTTCTTCTGTCTTTCACTGAGCCTGAAGCTTACTGTTTTGTTTTGGCTACAATGCCTGGCCAGTGAGCCCTGGGAAGCCCGTCTCTGCCCCCTAGGCCTGTGGTTACAGATGTCCACTCCTGCACCTGGTCTTTACGTGGATCCTGGGGATCTGAACTTGGGTTCTCATACTTGCACTGCAAACACTTTATCCACTGACCTGTGTCCCCAGCCCTTGCCTGACATTCTCAATGACTTTGTTGGTGACATTCTCTGTGTGGTCTGAGAACCACTGGGTCTCAGAAGCTCTGCTGAGTTCGTTCCTCTGCTGCTCCCTCCAGGAATCCTGCCTTGTTTTCATCTGTGGTCCACACGAATGCTTCTCACTCAGTTTTTATCTGTACGCATGTGTCCCACTTATCTTCTGGGCTAATAGATGTCAGGGAACTGGGTGTGCATTATAATTCACAACACTGATGAGGCTAAGTTCAAGTCAAGGCTCTGAGCTGGACCCTTCACAGTACCTCACAATTTCCTGACAGGCAACAACTAGCTAGGAGCAAGCCAAATCTAGCCCACATGACTTTCAGCATAGAATTTTTTTTCTTTTTTTGAGACAGGGTCTCATTATACTGTGGCTGTCATGGAACTCACTATGTAGACCAGGCTGGCCTTGAACTCACAGAGATCCACCTGCCTCGGCCTTCTGAGTGCTGGGATCAAAGGCGTGCACCACTAAGCCTGACTCAGCATCAACATCTTCACAAAACTGAATTAGTTGCTAGTACTTAAACATGGAGAGGTGTCATACACCGATACAGATTTTCAGAGTGACAGAAGCTGTGGTGGGTTGGGATGTGGCTCATTTGGTGGAACACTTGCCTAGCACGCACGAAGCACTGTGTTTAATGCTTAGTACCACATAAAACCAGGCATGACAGCACCTGCCCGTAACCATAGCAACTCAGAAGGCAAAGGATGGGAATCAGGCTGGGCAGTGGTGGCACATGCCTTTAATCCCAGCACTCGGGAGGCAGAGACAGGCAGATCTCTGTGAGTTCGAGGCCAGCCTGGTCTACAGAGTGAGTTCCAGGAAAGGCACCAAAGCTACACAGAGAAACCCTGTCTCAAAAAAATGGAAAAAAAAAAAAAAAGGATGGGAATCAGAAGTTCAAGGTTATCCATAGCTACATAACAAGTTGGAAGCTAGCCTGGGCTATATGAGGGTTTATTGTCCCTCCTCTTTGCTTCTTTTCTCTCCTGGGGCTCTGAAGGGATTTGAGTCTCCCACTCCGTAAAGCCACCAGAGAAAGACAAATGAAATTCCAGGACCCGTCAAATACCTGCAGAATTAATTAATTCCCTCTTAATGATCAGGTCTTGGGACGTCAGGCTGACTTGGTGAAGGTCATGTGATCAGTGCAGGGCAGAGAGAGGGATCTAGAGGTGTTTGGCTGGCTGCACAGCCAAGGCTGGGTGTCTGATAGCCATCCAAGTCTTGCCCGCGCATGCTTTCTCCCTATTAGCTGGCTAATGGTGGTAGACTTGGGCTCAGGCTCTTAACGATCTTGGTTGCTCTCCTATGGAACATTAGCACTCGCCTCATTAGCACAGCCCCTCAGGAGAGAGGCCTCAGGCTCCGTGGAGACCTGGCTCTGCCTGACTGCAGCTTTGGAGTCCCAGGCTTTTCCTTCTTGTTTCTCTTCCCACAGAGTTCCCCCAGGCCTTGTCAAATCTGCTGACAGCTGGCACCAAGGGATTGTGGGAAGGCAGAAGGAAGGTTGCCCTGGGCAAAATGCAGGTCTGCACACATGGCTCAGGGCTACTTTGCATCTTTTAAAAATCATTTTTATGTGTGTGTGTGTGTGTGTGTGTGTGTGTGTGTGTGTGTGTGTGTGTGAATGTTAGTGCCCTTGGAGACCCAAAGAGGGTTGTTGGATCCTCTGGAGCTGGAGTTGCAGGTGGTTGTGAGCTGCCTTGTGTTGGCTCTAGGAATCAAAGTACGGTCCTCTGCAAGGGCAGTAGCTAGCACCCTTCCCCACAGAGCATCCTTCTGGACCCATGCTTTGTCTCTTCAGAGGGAAAAGCAGAGCACACAAGGGTCACATTCCTTCAGGATGGTCACCAGGTAATCGCCTTGAGAACTGCATCAGTCACTGTGCTGTTGGCCAAGCCCAGAAGAACTTCATAAACTGGTCTCTGAGTGAAGTGGGAGATGAAGAAACAGTTTGCAAGGACAGAATACTATCATGCAAAGATGGTGGCTGTGGGAACACCTAACTAAGGCAGGTATTAAGCAAGGGTTTCAGTGGAGACCCAAGGAGATGAAGGAGCAGTCCCCAGGGAGGAAAAGAGAGAACCCAGGATGGAAGGTGCTGTCAGCAGCGTAGGGCACTAGTATCTGGGAAAGACCTGGCAGTGTAGAAAGCAGGCTGAGCAGCTGGTGGGTACATGGCCATGACATCTCTGCACGGCGGGATACAGGGCAACTCAGCCTTTATCCAGGCACAGGATCTGAGGCAGAGGATCCAGACAGCTGTTTTCACCCTCTTCTGCTCAAACTCACCACTGTCCAGACATGCTCCCCAGGGCAGCCTGGAAAGCAGCAGAATCCTGTCATCCCCTGCCAGCCCAGATTTCCTTCCACGTTCTGAGGAACACTAAGGAGGGTGGGCTGGGAGCAGGACTCAGTTGGTAGAGTGCCTTCCTAGCCTGCAGGAAGCCTTGAAGCCCTGGGTTCAGTCCCCAGCACTGTACAAACCAGGTGTGGTGGCACAGACCTGGAATCCAAACACCCTAGAGGTGGACACAGGAGCACCTGGAGTTCAAAGTTACCCTTCGTTACATAGAAAGTTTGAGGCCAACCTGGGCTACATGAGACCCTGTCTAGGAAAGAAGGAATAGAAAGCAAATGAAAAAGAACAAACTAAAAGCAAATGTAAAGGTAAAGGAAGAGAGGCAGAGGTGAGGGCTTGTGGGGATCGTGTTTTCGGAAGGCCTTCCTTTCTTCCATTCCAACTACAGCTGATGAGGAGTCAGGGCCTCAAGGGAGGGGTTAAAAGGGCTCCTTGGGATCTCTCCTGTACTGTGGGGTTCTGCAAGAAGGGAAGACTGACAAGCCACGCTCACTGCTGTCCTCAGAACCTCCATGGGAACTGAGTGTGGTTCGCGATCTAAGCCTGTAGGTCCTTCGCTTTGGTCCCCTAAGTCCAGGACTGGAGTGACCATGACTAAAAACTGGTCCCCTCCTTTCTTCCCTCCCTTCCTCCCTACTACTCCTGTCCCTCCCCCTCTTCCTTGTACTAGGGATTGAACCATTCAGCCACACTCCTAGCCTAAGAGGTAGAGCTTACGTGTAGGTCAGAGGACAACTTGTGATGGTCGCTTCTCTCCTTCTACTATATGCATCTTGGGGACTGATCTCAGGTCATCAGGCTTGGTGGCAAGCACCTTTACCCACAAAACCATCTTGCCAACCCAAGCAGCATTTTAAACTGGATGAGACTTTCAATGAGCAGAATGTTCTAGCCTCAGCTGTAGTCATCATCACCAAATAAGGATGGTAGTGGACTCTGGGGGCAACTGGAGGCAGAAAATCAAAGAGGACCAAGGACTGTATTTATGGCTCCATAAATCAGATCCTCATCAGTCACATCACTGTATCTGAAGCACAATCTAGAAGACAGGTGTATTATTTTCTCCGTTTTAGAGACAATGACTGGAAGACGCAGGAGATGGAGAACTCAATCATTGCCTCACAGCTGATAAACAGCTGAGCCCAGAGAGAATGCCCACAGGCAGGCCTGTGGCTCAGTCCCGGAGTGGCAGGGCTTCCCAGGGAGAGCTCAGAGCAGGCACCTCCCTCTCAGCTACTGTCTGATGCAGGGATGGGTAACTTACCACCTGCTTGGTGTCTTGTTCCGTTGTCAGGAGGCTGTTGAAAAAGACAACCAGTTACATAACTATAGAGTTTTGTGGTCAACACATTCAACCCTTACTCCATAAGTATCTATGGGACATTTCCACTGTTCCAAGGCCAGGGCAAGATGTCTACCTTCCCACCTGTTCTGAGATGAAGGCTCAGTGCATTATATAAGTATGGATTTGAGCCCAGGGCACATGGTGCAGTATCCAGTATCTTATGTCACAGAGTAAATTGGTCCAGGCACACATAGTCAGAAATAGACACAGCTGATTAAGACAAGTGCTGAGGTTTGAATGTCCCCCATAGGCTCATGTGTTTGAAAATTTGGTCCCCAACTGGTGGCGCTGTTTTGGGAGGTTATGGAACCTTTAGGTGGTGAAGTCTGACTGGAGGAAATGGACCCTGGGTGGGGGGGCGTGGGCTTTGAGGTTTTGTCGCCTCACCTCACTTCCTGCTCTTTCTCTGTTTCCTGTGTATGGAAGAAATGTGATCAGCCAGCTTCAGTCACTGTTGTCATGTCTTGGTACCATGACAGACCCTGTCCCTCTGGAACTGTAAGCCAAAACGAACCCTTTCTCCCCTAAGTTGCTTCCTGTCAGGGTGTGTTATTGAAGCAGCAGAGAGAATCCAATACCACAGAAAAGCCCTCCTGAGAACTGGAGTGGGCTGCAGAGCAAGAAAAAGCATTTCCTCAGAAGCCTTGAAAGTGCTGGGCATTGAGACTCTTGACCCTCTAGGCCTTCTGTGCTTCTTTGTTGTTTGTTTGTTTTTCCAGACAGGGTTTCTCTCTGTAACAGCTTTGGCTATCCTGGAACACTCTCTATAGACCGTGTTGGCCTCGAACTCAAAGATCAGCCTGCCTCTGTTGTAGAATATTATTTTAAGGTGTTACTTTTGTTTATGCTCTGGAACATTTGTTTAATGATTCAAAGGATCTGGAAGCAGAGACAGGAACATCTCTGAGAGTTCAAAGTCAGTCTAGTCTCTATATTGAGTTCTGGGACAACCAGAACTACATAGAGACCCTGTCTCAAAAACAAATACAAACAAACAAAAACAAATAATTTTAAAAACCAACAAATCAAAAACTTAGCCATCTGTCTTAATTAGGGTTTCTACTGCTATGAAAAGACACCATGACCATGGCAACTCTTATAAAGAAAAAACATTTAATTGGGGTGGCAACTTATAGTTTTAGAGATTCAGTCCATTATCATCAGGGCAGGGGGCATGGAGTCATTCAGGCAGACATGATGCTGGAGAGAGAGTTGGTACATGTTGATATGCAGGCAACAGGAAGTAGACTGTCCTTATGGGTGTGGCTTGAACATATGAGACCTCAAAGCCCATCTTCACAGTGACACACTTGCTCCAATAAGACCACACCTTCTTGAACAAGGCCACACCTCCTAATAGTGCCACTTTCATTGCGGACCATTCTTTCAAACCACCACACTATCTCAGGGTTTATTTTGGCTAACATTTTGAGGGTACAGTCCACCATAGTGAGGAGGCATGGAAATAGGACCAGGATAGCTGGTCATGTTACATCCACAGTTAGGAAAAAGAGAGATGAATGCTGGTGCTCAGCTCACTTTCTCCATTTTGTTGAGTCCAGGCATCTCACACAGTTGGGGTGGATCTTCCCACTTCAATTACCCCAGCCTAGAAACTCTCTCCCAGACTTGTCTGGAGGCTTGTCTCCTAGTTGACTGTAGATCCTGTCAAGTTGATATGACTCTCAATACTAACCATCACAGAGGGCTTGTGAAGCAAACCGCTTCAGCGGAGGAGTGTTGAGGAGGCTACAGTGGTCTGGCATCCTTGTGTTGGGGGCAGGGATCTTTATGGTGGTATTTTATTTGTACTGAAATGTGATTTTAATTGTATGTTAATAAATAAAGTTGCCTGGGGGTCAGAGCTATTAGAGCCATAGCAAAAGCTGGGTGGTGGTGGTGCACGCCTTTAATCCCAGCACTTGGTAGGCAGAGCTAGGTAGATCTCTGTGTGTTCAAGGATACAGCCAACAGACAGTGACAAGGCAGTCATGTGGTTGGTTTTACAACCAATGAGAAGGCAGGACAGAAAGTCTATATAAAGACAAACGACAGGAAGTAGGTCTCTTTCGGAGAGGTCTCTTGGCTGAAGAGGCTAGCTGCAGCAGGCGGGTAAGGCTCTTAGTTCTGATCTCTTGGCAAGAAGCATGTCATGGCCATACAGTTTGTAAACAATATAAGTCTCTGTGTTTAGTTGGTTGGGTCTGAGCAGCTGTGGGACTGGCAGGTGACAGAGATTTGTCTGACTGTGGGCCAGGCAGGAAAACTCTGGCTATAGATCTTTGTCATCCAAGGGGTGTCTTCTGTCTCCTTTTCTGGTAGGAACCTCACAATGAACTTCATTCTCCTGCAGCTGGTTAACTAGAAGCAAGCAATGGCTTCTCTTCAGCGAAGAGATGAGGTGAGGGGCAAGCAGAAGTTGTAAATGAACCCTGGTCTAGTAACATGTTCTCAGGCTCTCGGGATCAGGGAATGGGTATCTTGGGGAGGCCATCATTACTACACCATGTGGAATTTTGTATGATAATAAGCCTAAGGAGGAACCAGGAGCATGGAGTTTGGTCTGGACCCCGTGTTGAATCATGCTGGCACCTTGGGTCACCTCTTGCCTTTCAGGGTAGATACAGCAAGGGACTCACCACTTAGCTTTGAGTGATTCCCACACTTGCCTAGGCCAGGTCTTCCATGAAGCCACTCTCCATCTCTGGGTGCCTCCCGCCCCCCCCCCCCCCCCCCCCCCCCCCCCGTCTCCCCATCCCCAGGGGAACAGAAGCCTGGCTTCTGAGGCCTTCCCCTCTGTTCTCTGCCTTTCCATAATAGGATCTTGGCCTCTGCACCCTCCAGAGAAGCTGGAATTAAAACTCCAGGCTCTTCAGGTCAGAAATTTGCACTTCTCACTCCATTTTCCTTTGAGTGGTTGTTTGAAAACTCAGTTTCATAGAAAGCATAAGCCAGGGATGGTGGTTTACACCTTTAATCCCAGCACTTGGCAAGCAGAGGCAGGTAGATCTGAGTTCAAGCCCAGCCTGGTCTACAGAGCAAGTTCCAGGACAGCCAGGGCTACACAGAGAAACCCTGTCTCAAGAGAAAGAGAGAGAGAGAGAGAAGAAAGAGAAAAAGAAAACACACACACACACACACACACACACACACACACACACACACACACACACGTGGTGGCGGTGGGGGGCATTCCTATGATCTCAGGGCTGGCCTGATAAGCTTGCCATTCCAGGAGGCAGCGTGCTAAGTGGGGAAGAAGGAATGGAGACGCCGCTTGGTGACTCACTTCCCAGACGAACCTGCTTTCTTTTGTTTTTGTGTTTGACGGCTATTCGAGCAAGGTCTCCTGACAGCGACTGAGAAGAGAAAGTGGGGAACAAAATTCCTTCCTTTTTTGCCAAACAGCAAAGCCTGCCCCAGCAGCTTGATAGGCTTTATTTTTTTTTCTAGTAGTCAAGAGTTCTTTTTTCCCCCTGTGAGCACCTCATAGTTCATCTCCTCTTCTCGATAGCCTCTCATTAATATGACCATTTATTTCATCCGGTTTCCCACACCACACAGTGTCCATGGTACATATTTCATCTGATAAATGTTCATTTCACACCTATTTTATGTTAGGAGCTGTGACAGACACTTTGGACAACATACCAAGCAGAAAATAACTCCCCCAAACCAAGAGCTCTGACCTATGGAGCTGGGATTGACAACAGAGGCAGGTAAATCCAATCCTAACGTTTAGCCCAAAACACAGTTCTCACCTCAGAGGGAGAGAATAAGCGACCGTTTATTCTGAGTCAGATATGAGTGACCGTGGCCACAGGACACACGGACTCAGGTTGCTCCAAATAACATGTTCCAATGTGGAAACAATTAGACTAGCTTTCAGGGTCATAGAACAAAAGCATGATGGGAAATTCACATCTGCTGGTCTTCAGAGTTCTCTGGTCCTCAGTCACTCTGGGGGAGTGGGGGTGAGGAGGAAGGCTGGAGTTAGCTGAAGACCAAGTGTATTTCTTGCTTTAGGGAGTAACAGAGGCTGCTGGGAGGGGGGTCATCACACAGGAAATCCACAGGAAAGTGCACGACCGGACAGCAAGGTCATCTTCGCCTCCAGGGTGTCTAGGGAGCAAACCCAGCCATCTTCCCTGCCCTCCTGCCCCCCCTGTGAAGGAACATAGAGGTGCCGCTTCTCGTATTAATCTAGCGGTAAGCATTTTTTACACCAGCTGTCCTCACATCCCTGGGCCCCCGAGGAACAAGACACAGAGCCTTGGAACATCATTAAAATGCTGTCCAGAAAGAGGCACCGCTGAGCCTGGTCGGCGAGAAGCTAAGAACTGCGGGAGTGAAATGAAGACAGGCGTGCTAGCTAGGCAGACGGGCCAGGCAGGCACCGGTTCCCACTAGTGGGCTGTGCACCAACCTGTAGAACAATCCCGGATGACTCCCCTCCCTTCCAGACTAACGTTTAAACACTGGTGAAAACCAAAACCAGCCTCTGTGGTCTTTTGTAGCCCCGGTTGACCTACTCGGCATGCAGCTGAGGATGGTCCTCTTGTCTCTGTCTCTGCTGGGATTACAGGCGTGCACTCCACACTTGGTTTTAGTTTCAGTGACCTCTAATGACGTGTACACCTGGATGGTTAATTAACATTGCTTCTGTATGCAAAGGTGTAGAGAAATGGTCTATCTATGGGTGGGAAGAAGTCTAAAACAGCCATGGCCACCACTCCGGGGCAGAGAGGAGAGGGGTAGACTGATAAGGGCCAGGGCTATCTCTTTTGGGAGCAGAGAGAAGAGAGGGAAAGTGGAAAAACCTCACTGGGAATTAAGAAAACCGGTAGATGCAGGATGACAGGGTGGGGGTGGGATGCTGTGAACTGGAACAGCCTGGAAATTTAGGGTGGCAGGGGAGGGGGCTTGCGAGCCTGGTGGCTTTGGCATGCACGTAAGTACATGGCAATAGAGAAGAAACCAGTTTTCTCAGGTTCATGGTGAGTGAGAGTGAGCTTTTATCTCTACTAGCAATCCTATAGTCCAGCCTGAATGGAGCCCAGACTCATTTTGAACCAAATCAGTGGGCTTGCCCCTTTTTGGGGGGTGCTTGGGGTTTTCCCCTTTGGACCTGATCTCCCTCCCTCCCTCCCTCCCTCTCTCCCTCTCTCTCTCTCTCTCTCTCTCTGTCTCTCTGTCTCTCTCTCTCTCTCTCTCTCTCTCTCTCTCTCTCTGTCTCTCTCTCCCTCTCTCTCTCTCTCTCTCTGTCTCTCTCGTGCTCTTTTTCATCTCTCTCTCCAATCTCCTAATATAGTGAGCTAATCAACTACTCCATGTTCCTAAATCTATTTGAAGCATGGTTATGTCTAAGATGTATGTAACGCTGGGCTGTTACTTAATCTTCTCCCCACCCCTCTCTCTTCTCTACCTTCTCTGCCTGCCCCTCTACCGTCCACACAAAACAGAGTCCTCCCAAAGGAGTAAGAGTCTATTTTCAGTCAAATCTGAGCAACCTTAGCCTGGAGACACACATTCAGATCGCCTCAAGTGATTTGTCCTCTGCAGACCATGGACTTTCTACATTACAGCCACAGGACAAAAGCGGACCATAAGTCAACGGATCCATCAAATGCACTGACAGAGGCCCTGGGTAGGCAAGCTACAGCTAAACCAGGAAATCTTCTGCTGGAGGTCTTACCTGATGGCCAAAGAAGGCTAGGACACAAACAGGGTGGGTGATTATTGGCTATTGAGAGGGCTGAAGATATCTCAAGGTAATCTGAGCTCTGGGTATGCAGCATTCCAACTCTCCACAAAGATGTTTTAACCTGCCTTGTTGAAGGTCCCACAGATGTGGCTTTTTCTGGGAACTTTACACCGGGAAAGAGAAGATGTGCTAGTCAATCATCTGTGTGTTCCTGTCTACTGGTTTACACATGCCTCTGTTATGCACCGCTTTGCTTCTTGAGCAAATCATCTCCGCTGGGCTGCCATGTCAAGATCAGAATAAAGTCACCTGCTTCCCGGTTCCTCCTCCAGACCATGGGGAGAATCCAGGCTGAACGTGGTCTGCTTTAACATGGGCGGCAGACTAAACCCACCCAGAGAGAAGAGAGATAAAGAGAGAGCAAGAGAGGAGCTGCTGACCAAGAGAGGCAGCTTGGGCAAAGAGACCAGCATAGCCAAAATGACTGAGTTATATAGGGATCAGGCTGGGGAAGAGAAGTGGAACCCCGCTTCTGGGAGGGAGAGGTTTAGGGTAGGGGGTATGGTGAGGAGTGTTGGGAGGAGTGCTGAGGACTGAGTGAGACTTGTCCTGGGTTTAAGACCTAACACAGAGGACTTGGTTCTGGTTCTCATCTCCCAGATGGCAGCTCCCACGGTCTGTAACTCCGGTTCCAGGTGATTTAACACCCTCTCTGACCTCTGTGGACATCAGGCATGCACGTGGTGCACATATATACCTGCAGGCAAAACACTCATACACATAAAATAAAAATAAGCAAGAGTCTTACAAAAATAAACAAGCTCCCGACAAATGGTGTTCAAGGTTGACCTCTGATTTCCACATTTGTGTACACACACATGTACCTGCACACATAGGAACTTACACATATACACCATATATACATATACGTGTGTGTGTGTGTGTGTGTGTGTGTGTGTGTGTGTGTGTGTGTGTGTGTGACTGAATGACACTGTGTAGCACAAATTGAAGAAATGGCTGCTCCCAGCAGGGCCTCAAGACTGGACTCACGGTGACTGAGGACTTCCTGGCAGTAGCAATTCCCTCCCTGACCTTCCAGTTCTGTCCACTTCCGGGATAGACTTACCAAATGTCTTTTAGTTGTGTGGTTTTACAAGGGTCCGGAAAGAATAACCCTTAGTACAATAGAATTACAGTATAGTATATAACCTCCCTTGTGGTTAATACTAGAGGTTTAGCATATTTTAAGCTAACAACACAGTTGGTCTTTAACGGAACACAATAAACAGGTGAAAAATCTACAGTTTTCTTATCGGTAGGACCTGAGACATTACAGGCTCTAAGGGAACTTTCCACCTCACTCATCCATTTCTTCGGGTGCACTCCACAACCCCCGGGAGGGGGTGTTTGATATTGCCCTCTGAAATCTCCCATTTGGGTTGAATTCTCAACCTCTATTTTCTCTACTTTAAACTCTGGTGCAAACCCTCGGGGTATGTGCAGCCCTCCAAGTAGGTGGGGGTCGGCTCTGCTGGCTAGGGACCCTCTGGGCTCCATTCTGAGAGCCTTGTTAGGAGCAGCTCACATGCATGTGTTGTTGGTCAATGGCTTCAGCAAGTCTGGTTCCCACTTTGGCAGGAGATGAAGCCTGGCCACTCCCACTGGGGAAGGCACAGCTTATCAGCTTTAGCCCTAGCCACATGAGCGAGGAGACTGGGAGTGGTGGGGGGCGGGGGGGGGAGGACGGGGGGGGGGGGGGTGTTCAGAACTTCCTTTTCCTCAATTGCTTCCTCTCAAAGGTATTTGCATTTTAACACGAGTTGGCCCCTACCCCCACCCCCATTTCCCCCTCCTTTGATTCTATTGCTGAGGCATCCCTGATGCTGGAGGCATGTTAGTGTCTGGAGGGCTCCATGGCAACAGCCTGGGAGTTGAATGGTGTGAACCTCACCTCTTTTTCTTTTTGCAGACTGGTTGGCAAGGCAGACCATTTAGGAGAATTTTCAAGGAAGTGCAAACGGAACTTTGTCACCTTGGTGTCTCCTGGGCTTGCTGTGAAAACCTGTGGATAGATTGCAGAGGTGGGCAGACCTGTGGGGGGTGATGGACAAGAGGCAATGATAAACTTACTAGTCCCCCACTCTTTTTTTTTTTTTTTTTTTTTGGTTTTTCGAGACAGGGTTTCTCTGTGTAGCTTTGCGCCTTTCCTGGAACTCACTTGGTAGTCCAGGCTGGCCTCGAACTCACAGAGATCCGCCTGGCTCTGCCTCCCGAGTGCTGGGATTAAAGGCGTGCACCACCACCACCCGGTTAGTCCCCCACTCTTAAATGACGCTCTTTCCCCAATGGTTCTGAGGAGCCCACCGGACTTGATGATGCTTAACTCCACGAGGGATGCCCGGAGAGACTGGTGCAGAGCCTTCTGTTGCTACAACAGAAACACTCTGACCATCAGCAATTTAGAGGAGGAAAGGGTTTATTTGACTGACACTTTTAGGCTACATTCATCACTGAGGGGAGTCAGGGCAGGATCTCAAGCAAGATCTTGAAGCAGAAACTGTGGAGGGACGCTGTTTGCTGGGCCTCCTCACAGACTCATGCTCAATTAGCTTTCCTATATAGCCCAGGAATTCCTGCTTGGGGAATGGCGTTACAGTGGGTTGAGATTTACCTCAATTAAGGTTTGAGACACCCCGTCCCCCACAGACACTCCCAGAGGCCAATCTGATCTCAGTAATCCTTCAATGAAGACTTCCTTCTCAGATGACTTTAGGCTCTCAAGTTGACAGTGAAAGCTGACTAGCGTATACTACTGTTGGGTGGGTATTCTCTCTGGACAGAAACACTGGAGGGAAGTAGGAGGTTCATAAGATTCAGGAAGTTCCTGAAACTTACAGGCTTAGGAAGCTAAGAAAGTTACAAGGGTCACAAGGCCCCTCTCAAGATTATGTAACCAGTAATAGCAGCTGGCAGAGGGGAGACTGTCAGGAGGAACTGCCAGCTGGGCACTGATACTGAGGCTATTGATGCTGCTTGGTCCACCATGGCAGCTAGAGATGACAGCTGTTGTTTAGCTGTTGTTTACCTTGGATGATATAGCAATTTGAGGAAGGACCACTATATGCTCAATCACATTTCCCTGTAGCGTTGGACTCCAGCGGGTTGTGGTGGGGGCTGGAGGAGGGAGGGCTTTCTCCTGCACATGTAGCTCATGCTGGGTAGTAGACGAAAGACTCATTTCTGCATGTGGTTAAGGTGGCCTGCCTTTCTAACCCTCAGGTTGTGAATGGAGTTGCAGAGCTTATTGTGGTCCAATGACTCCTGGTGTCTAGTGTGTTAACAGGGGCACAGACAAGGCAATGACCAGCTTATAGTCATGACCTTGGACTGAATCAGGGGGTGTGCTGTGCTTTGGGGATGTGTCTTGCTTATCACCTAAAGATCCATTGTCATTAAAGTTTTGCTTTGTCCCCAGGGAAATACTATAGGGCAGTTCTTTTGTTGTTTTGGTATGTATGTACATGCTTATATGCACATCTATGTTTGGATGCATGTGTGTAAGTGTGTGGAAGCCAGAGATTGGCCTTCCATGTCTTCCCAGTCACTCTCCACCTTTTTTTTTTAGATTTATTTATTTATTATGTATACAGTGTTCTGTCTGCACGTATTTTATTTTATTTTTAAAGATTTATTTATTTATTATGTATACAGTGTTCTGCCTGCACGTATGTCTGCAGACCAGAAGGGGGCACCAGATCTCATTACAGATGGTTGTGAGCCACCATGTAGTTGCTGGGAATTGAACTCAGGACCTTTGGAAGACCTGTCAGTGCTCTTAACCTCTGAGCCATCTCTCCAGCCCTCTCCACTTTCTTTGTGAGACAGGGTCTTTCACTTTTACCTGGAGCCTATTGACTTGGCTAGGCTGAATGGTCAGTAATCCCCAGGGGTCCTCCTGCCTCTGCTTGCCCACTCTTGGGCTTACAAGCCTATACCACCATACCCGGTATTTTTACACGGATTGTGAGGGTTGAACTAAGGTCACACGTTTGCATTTCTGACATAACCAGGTATTACACTGGTTATGGGGTGGGCCAAGCGTTCCTATGTTCTTTACATCTTATTCATTGCATTGAAATAGGTGCACATGGGTTTGAAGAGTAGCAAGGAAACTTTATTCAGAGCCAAGTGACAGCATAGGTCAGCAACAGGTTGTCAAGAGTGACAGACAGCAGGCCACATGAATGAGGGGACTCATGAGTTCTGATTATTGTTTGGGGCTCCGTCTTATGAAGTTCAAGAGAAGGAGGGCTTTGGTTGCTAGGGGCATAGGGTGGTTTTCCATTTTTTAAACATTTATTTTATAATTAATTATATGATTATGTGAGTATGTGTATATGAGTGCAGGCACCCTCAGAGGCCAGAATAATATGTCAGATCCCCTAAAGATGGAGTTATAGGTGGTTATGAGCTACTCAACATGGGTGCAGAGACCTGAATTCAGATCCTTTGCAAGAGAAGCATGTGCTTTTAACTGTCCAGCCATTTCTCCAGCTCCAAGGTTCTCTATTTTGATTGACAGATTTTAAGTTACATAATCTACATTGTTTGTCCTTTCTCATAATGCCCCTGATTTTAATCATATACTCACCCAATTATGCATAGATAAGCATAAGATGTTAAATAGGGGGTTCTCTTTAAAAGTACACATTGAGCCGGGCGGTGGTGGCGCACGCCTTTAATCCCAGCACTCGGGAGGCAGAGTCAGGCGGATCTCTGTGAGTTCGAGGCCAGCCTGGGCTACCAAGTGAGTTCCAGGAAAGGCGCAAAGCTACACAGAGAAACCCTGTCTCGAAAAACCAAAAAAAAAAAAAAAAAAAAAAAAGTACACATTGAGAATACAGTTTGCTTCATTGTATATGCATCTAAAACCTACCTACCCTTGTACCTGAATGAACTAAGAATATGTTTGGATAGAAATTGTCCAAGTTTGATGGCCATTAAGGAGAGGAGAAATGTATCTCATTGTTCTGAGTGGGGTGTGTGTTGCTGAGTGCATTGTTCATTCAGAGACGGATGTCTGTGCATGGTATGAGCAGGCGAGGCTCTCAGGCTGCCTCAGAAGAGGGGTGTGTACAGAGCCCAAATCAAGTGTAGTCCCAGGGTGCCACACTATTCCCTGTACTGGCCTCCCTCACAGGGATGTCCAATCATGGATTTTTGGCTTGTCGAATGGGCATAGTACTTGAGATAGTTCAATAAGACTCAATCTAAAGATTATGCTAGAATTTTTAGAAGCATGATGCCCTTTCTATTGAGATGGCTAAGATTCCAGCCATTTTGCCCCTCTGAAGGAAGAGAGCCTGCCCGAGGACAGAGGCATTGCTGAAGACAGAATGGTGGAGAAACGTAGAGAAAGTATTACTCAATCCCTTGGTCAACCCATGCCTATAGTCCTGTCTCCTCTTGGAATTTTCAGTTTCATATATGCAAAAATCCTATATTTCTGCTTAAGAAGCTCTGTACCACTCACATAGGATATCTTTATTCTCGAAGTCTTTGGATGCAGTGGCTGCATGTCTCTTTACACATGACATCCTCAGATGAGTGACAAGAACCATGCTCTCTCACAGGTACTCCAATCACTGTCTCCTGGTCATCCAATCAGCCAGGGGATGATCAGAGATCAGGATGGGGTCTCCATCCCCTAGCTCATTTACCGGTCTTCCACTTTGGATCCTATAACATAAACTACTGTTTCTGCTAGCAGCAATCTTGGTCCCAAAGCGGAGGCTCAATGAAGCACATGATGTGCATCAGGTGTGGTCCTAAGTGGCTTGCACAGGGCAGTGGGGAGCATGTGGGTGCTCACAAGCAGGGTGACTAGAATGTCGATCCGGGTTTGGACTCCATGAGGTCCCAGATCCTCGAGGTGGGTGTGGTGGCCGATTGCCTAGCAGGCTGGTAGACTGACTCTGAGAGTTCCTACCTAGGCTTCCAGTTCAGACTCTATGCAGACCCACTTTGGTGCCGTGGGTGGTATGACTGATAGGCAGTCAGGCAGGGGGGCTCTACCCAAACTTTTAACCAGCAGTGGGCTTTCTGTGGGGAGTGGAGAATGAAAGCTACAGATGTGAGTGGTTTTACTCTTAGCTGGATCACACTATTCCCTTGCCTGTACAATCTCCCCCAAGTATAGTTAAGGAGCGATTTTTGCATCATGTCTTGCTAAATTTTTAGCTTCTACCAGCCTAGCATCCATTCTCCCAGTCCCCGCCCCGCCTTGCTTTCCTGACGCTGCAGAATTCTTGGGACGCTGTCCAAAGTGCTGACAAGCAGTTTTCTTACGGAAATCTCAGCTTTGCCAAACGGCTGTACCGCATACGATCAGGGTCTAGGGCTGGGGTCTCAGGATGCAAGCGTTGGTAAAGAGAGGGGACCTCTGGCCATCCCAAGTCACTTCCATCCAGCAATATGTCTTCTGGAAAGTGGTGTTTATCTTGGCTTTCTCTCAGCCACTAGGATTCACACACAACCAGGTGGACAGTCAGGGTCCAGATGGTAAGTACCACTTCCTAATGCTCAGCTAGGATGGCAGACAGACAGCAGAATCGGAACTCATTCTCTTTAGAAGCTGCCACTATTATACGCTGGCTGTATGCCAGACGCCACACTATGTCCTCAGCACACATTTCCTCAAGCAGTTCTCAGCATCATCCAGTATGGTAGACACTGTTATTTTCTCTGTGTTACAGCCAGAAAGGGTGCAAATTGAAAGACAGATGGGAAGTCTGTGAGAGCGCTCAGCAGGCCAGAGCACTTGCTGCCAAGGCTGATAACCTGAGAGTGATCCCCAGAGTCCTCAGAGTGGAAGGACAACAAGTTGTCCTCCAACTAACACGCCCACCCACCGTGGCACGTGGATACCTCCTTCCAAATAAATGAATGTAGTTAATAAAAGAAAGATAAATGGTTTGGACAAGCATAAGACATAAGGTTTGTCTGGGGCCTTCCTGATGACACAGATCCTACCCCTCAAACCATCCAGCTATCCATTGTGAATAAGACCAGGAATGGGGTCTAGACATAGACAGTCAGCCCTCTGCTCAAGAGTTGACTTAAGAGCCACTTCTCGGGCTAGGGAGATGGTTTGGTGGGCATTTGCCATGCAAGCATGAGGACCTGAGTTTGGATCCTTAGAATCCATGTAAAGCTGGGTGCGCTGGTGTTTCTGTGATTCTCACACTGAGAGATGAAAGCTGGAGACAGAATTCCTGGAAGCTGGGGGCCAGCTGGCCTGTTGCATACAGCAATGAGCAAACAAGAGGTTCTAGGGAAAAAGGGGGGACTGACACCCAGGTTGTCCTCTGACCTCCACATACACGCTCTGGCACATGTGTGCCCCCTGACCCCAACTCTCTCTGTAGATCTCTGCACTCCCCAGCTGTAGATGCAGTGGGTTGCCTCTCCGGCCTATAAGCAAGTCACCCTGGTTGAGCCAGTGAGCCCTCTCCCATGGGACAAGAGCTTGAGTCTACATGTGGAGTGTGAGAAACTTTTCCTGGGGAGGCATGATGTATATTATATACTCACATCTACTCACCCCTGAAAGGGAACCCATGAGAGACCAAAGTAGCAACTGCACCAAAGTCCAACTTGGTGAATGAATGCATTTTATTGGGGTTACTTGCAGGAGTCAGCACGATTCAAAAGCAGCTGCATCACTGAAGAGCTCATTGTAACACGGGTGAGAAGCAAAGACCCGGAGCTCTCTGTACAGCTTGGCGGCAGCTCGACAGGTCTGAGAATTTCCTCTCTGGAGCTCTCCTGGTCAGAGTCTCTTGCCCCACCCCAGGCAGTTGTTTATGGCTTCTGTAAAGCTGAGGGGGGCTCTCCTGACTCTTTCAGGGTCCAGCATTCCAGAACATGTGCCGTTCACCCCCTGGGTCTCAGGTGTTTCCTCCCAGTTCCCGGAAGAGGTTTAAATCATAGGAAACTGTTCTCTACATCAGCATGGCAGTCACAGGAGGGCTCCAATTTTAAGCTGGCTCCACATGACCTTCGCCTGTGACGATCTGATGCCAGCTCACTTTCTGCATTCCTCCTGAAGGTGTGGCTTCTCTGAACACAGGAACATAGGGTGGGAAAGCTTCAGGATAACTGCAAGAGAGAGCTTTGCGGCTGACACACCCTTTGTCTTCAGCAGGCACCAGATTTCTCTACCTTTAGCAGGGATCTCACTTCACAGAGCACTTGAACGCCCATTGAGGATGTCAGCTTCTTATTTGAGGAAATGTCAGGCACCAAAGGGCAAGTACCACTTAACATGTCAAGGAGCAGTGCGGCTGGCAGACGCACTTATACGTGAAAACCCACCTTCAGCTCTGCATCTGGGAACTGAGGTAAGACGTCTTGAGAGCAGTCAGACGTGAGGACCATGTTCAATCTGAGGACAGGGTTAAACCAGCCATGCGTGCAGCCTGCCCTTCCTGCAAGTTATCACTCCCCCACTCGATCCTTTCAGCCCTGCACACCTGCTCTTCATTCACAAAACCTTAATAGCCTAATGCTCCTCTTCATTTTCCCATCCATCTTTATTTCTTCTTTGGCTTCCCCTTCTGACTGTTCTGCCATGTCCTCATTGGTCAAGAAACAATGTTCTGCCTCACCCTTCTGCTTCCCACTTCTTGCTCCCACAGTCCATTCTGTGAGCCAGTGACCATTGGGAGATGGAGATGGAGAGGAACAGCCTCCTAGCATGGGAAGTTTCAATGCTTGCTTGCTTGCTTGTTTCCTTCCTTCCTTCCTTCCTTCCTTCCTTCCTTCCTTCCTTCCTTTTCTTCATTCTTTCTTTCTTTTGCATGTGTATGAGTGCACAGAAAGGAGGGCCAGAAGTTCAAGGCTATCCTTGAATTCTAGCTCACCAATTTGGCCAGGCTGGCTGTTCAGCAACTCCCAGAAATCCTGTCTCTACTCCCTGCCCCCGTGCTGGGATTACAGACATACACGATGGAGTCTGGCTTTTTAGATGAGTGTTTAGGATCTGAACTCAGGTCCTCATGCTTGCATGACAGGTAATTTACAGACTGAGCTGTCTCTCCATCCCTGGCTTCCTGCATGTTGGGATTATAGCCATGAGCCACCATGCCTGGATTATACGGTGTTGGCAATTGAACTCAGAGCTTCATGTAAGCTACACAGCACTCTACCAAATGAGTTATACCCCTGCCCAACAGGTGTTTATTCTGCTTTGGAATACTGTCATAATTACTGTTTTATTGCTATGAAGAGACACCAAGATCCAAGGCAATTTATAAAAGAATGCATTTAATTGGGGTCTTACTTACAGTTTCAGAGGATTAGTCCATGACCATCATGGCAGGGAGTATGGTACCAGGCAGACAGGCAGGCATAGTGCTGGAGTAGCTGTAGCTGGGAGCTTACATTCTGATCTGTAGGCAGCAGGCAGAGAAAGAAAGACTGGGCTTGTCATGGGCTTTTGAAATCTCAAACCCCATCCCCAGTGACATACCTCCTCTAACAAGGCCACACCTCCTAATCCTTCCCAAACATTTCCACAAACTGGGGACCAAATATTTCAAATATATAAGTCTGGTGGGGTGGGGTGGTGCATTCTGATTCAAACCACAACCGATCAATTCCACGTGCTGTGCTGAGTGAGACTTTCTAAAGCCACAGAGGCACTGAGTGACTGCAGATCCCCCCCTGCACTGCACTCATAAACACACCTCTTCACCCAATGAATGGCTATTTCAGGGCAGGAGAGGTGGGAGAAGAGTGGCATCAATAGGCCTGCTCCAGAGAAGTGTCCATCTGCTTCTGTTCCCCGGAATAATACAAGGAAAGAGTTCACCAAACCAGACCCCTGCTCTATCAGCGCCAGAGGGGAGGGTCTTCTTCTACCAGCTGAGCCTGCTCTTGCTGAACTTGTGGGTACCCCCAATATCACTCATCATCTGTTTGTCTGTTTCCATAGACATGGCAGGTGGCTAGGGGGTGGAGCCATGGGATGCCAAGTTTATCAGCAGGGGATGGAAAATCCAGAACAGGGAACAATGACAAGATGTGATGCTAAGGAGCTATTGGGTCCAGGGTTCACTCAGTCAAGTACCTCTACTCACAGTTGGTTCTAGGCTCTCTGACAAGTTGTCAGAACTGTGGGATCCCTTTGCAGGAGACATGATCCCCCTCTGGTTGGCACCAGGCTTCTGCCTTTTCCTTCTCCTAGCATGAGGCTCCTGGGGGGACATTCAAACTTTTTGAGGTCCATTGTCTCAGTAGTCTGACAGGCAGAAGGAGGGCCTAAAGTCTCCCTTGATGGTATCTTCTCTTTTAGTAAACAAGGACAGTTGCACTACAGTGAGGTCTTTGGGTTTGGTTCCAAGTGTGATTAGGGACACTGGAAAGCTAATGAAGTCACTCACACGATCTGCTTGTGTCTAAAGGGCCAATCACCAGGTTTCCCACTTTCTCTGTAGGGACACCAGTCTAAAGTGGCCAGGTCTTCTGACTCCCCATGGAAAGCTGAAATTCTGGCTGATTCTCTTGTTGGTTTTCCAATTTTAAATTATTGACAACTCATTAGAAAAATTTAAAGCAGTGGTCGGGGCAGGTTAGAGAAGTGCCTTGAGGCTCCCAAACTGAAGAAACTTTGCCCTGTGCTTGCTGCACAGCTGAGCAATAGAGACTTCTGAGCCCCAAGCATCAAGTGCAGACCAGGCTAGCCTTGAACTCACAGAGATCCTCCTGCCTCTGCCTCCCCAGTGCTGAGATTAAAGGTGTGCACCACCACTGCCCCGCAGTGCCAAATCTCTTGAGGAGAAGAACAAGGTAACCAGAGGCCATAAGCACTTGATTGCAGGGGTCCTGACCCTGGGTGGGGAAGCTGTGTGAAGTCAGCAGGTTCTTATGGATCCTCACTGCCCTGAGTTTTGCCTCAAATACCATTATACTGCACAGGAGCCGTATAACTGTGCACCACAGAGGGCTGAGAGTGAGGGGTCATCAATGAGTGTGTCGAGGAGAGACTTCAGATAAAATAGTGTGGTGCTTGTGAACATTCAACACAGACATATCATGTCTGTGTGGTTTTTAATTTGAGAGGATTAGATGAAGGTTTGAAAATGGATGGCCTTTAAAATTGCTCCTGGCTCAGAGATTCTAAGATGATAAAAAGAAAGTCCTCATTAATCAGGCCGTGTGTTCAATAGCAAAAGACAGGGCTGTGTCCCCCGGCCTTGATTTAGTTTCTCCATTTAATCTATATTGTACAGAAGGCATTGTGGGTAAGATAATAGTGAGTGCTGAGATAATGGAACTTGAGGCAAAACTCAGGGCAGTGAGGATCCACAAGAACCTGCTGGCTTCACACAGCTTCCCCACTCAGGGTCAGGACCCCTGCAATCAAGTGCTTGTGGCCCAGCCTCTGGTCATCTTGCTCTTCTCCTCAAGATATTTGGCACTGTGGGGCAGTGGTGGTGCACACCTTTAATCCCGGCACTGTGGAGGCAGAGGCAGGAGGATCTCTGTGAGTTCGAGGCTAGCCTGGTCTACAGAATGAGTTCCAGGACAGCCAGGGTTACACAGTGAAATCCTGTCTCGAAAAACAAACAAGCAAACAGATATCTGGCACTACCATGTTTCCATAATTGAAAACCAGTTGTGGTTCCAACCATCATCATCGTTAACTTGACTGGATTTAGAACCATCTAGGAGACACAGCTCTGGACCTCTCTGTGAGGATGTCTCCAGAAAGGAGACTGAGTTTAACTGAGGAGGGAAAATCCATTCTGAATGTGGAATAGCGCTACTTTATGGGCTTCAGTCCCGGATTGGATAAAAAAGAAAATGTGGACTGAACACCAGCATCCATCTCTCTCTGCTTCCGGATGGTGGATGCAATGTGACTAACTGCCTCCTGTTCCTGATGCTATGACTTCCCTGCCATCATAGACTGTACCCTCAAACTGTGAGCCAGGACAGAACTTTCTTTCCTTATGTTCCTTTCATTAGGTATTGTTTTTGTTACAGCAATGAAGGAGTAACTAACACAGGTTCCATATTCCACTCTGCCAACTGCAGTGGAACTTGGGGAGAAGAGGGTACATACAGCTTATGATGCCTGGTTATAGGCAGGCAAGTCTGAAGAAGGACATTTCTTGCTGAGATGAGACTCCTCTCAGGCCATGCTAGCTACCCCTCCCTGACTTTCTAGGACCCATTGTGGAAAGTCACAGAACAGAGCTAGAGCATGCTTGACCCTGGACAGAACTCCGGGATGAAGTGGTTACCCACAGGCTCTGGAAGACATGCTGGGCTTGAGTGCTGTCAACCTAGGGTGATGCTTGCACATGGCAGTGGGATGTAAATCAGATTGCTTCTTGGTCTGGTACCCAGGGACACTTGGACACACAAACATGCTCCCATGCACACAGGACCTGAGTTCTTTATCAAGCTTCGGAGGCCACCAGGAGTTGGGAATATAAGGATCCATCCCTGGTCCTGACACATCACTATATGACCATTCCCAGTGGCAGTGTGAGGTCATAGTACTCAGCCAGACGTCTCCTGTTCTCTGGATCTCAAGCGCTAGCATGTGTTGATCTGAATGTAAAATTTCCCCCGTAGTTTCATGTGTTTGAGTGCTCAGTCTCCAGCTAGTGGCATGGCTTTGTAAGGCTGTGGAACCTTCAAGAGGTACGGCCTTTAGGAGGTGTGCCTTGAGATTTCATAAGCTGCCCCCACATCCTGTCTACTCACTGCTTCCTGATTGCAGACTGAATGTGGCCAACTGTCTCTCACTCCTGCCACCTTGCCTCCCCTGCCATGACAGATGCTGTCCACCATGCCCCCTCTGCCACGACAGACACTGTGTTTAAACCATGAGCCCAAACTCACCTCCCTCTCTTATGTCGTCTCCTGTCAGGTGTTCAGTCTCAGTAGCAAGGAAATCGGGTGATCCATGGTGACAGGGAAATGTCACATGACCACTCAGACAGAAGGTATGGATGCTGGTTTTAACCTGTGGGGCATTATTTACCTACCCAGCGTTAGCATTCAGCCATGACCACGAACAACTTGGTTGGAGTAAGAACAAAGGAACTCATAAACGAAGGGACTTCAAACAGCATCGGTGGAAGCATTGGGTATATGGGTTTAGCAAAGCAGTGAGACTTCTGCTGTAGGCCTCAGATGTAATCTGTAGGTGTCCTTAGCCTTGGGGTTGGTGTCCTTAGCCTTGTGTCTGCTTTAAAATACAGTTAAAAATGGCTCTGAAGAGGCTAAATGGGCTGGAGAGATGGCTCAGCTGTTAGGAGTATGCATCCTGTTGGGGAGGACTGGAGTTTGGTTCCCAGTACCCACTTCGAGTGGCTCACGACCACCTGTAACTCTAGCTCCAGGGGATCCAACACCCTCTTCTGAACTCTGTGGGTACTGCACCCATGTATACAAACTCCCACACGAAGCACATATAATTTAAAAAAAAAAAAAAATCAAACCTAGCCCAAGATAACCGGTCTCTGAACCTGTACCATTCCAACTCTCCACAGTCACAGATGCTCTGGTCAGTCCGGGAGTTAGAGGAGGAAAGGAAAGGGGACCATATAATGGAGAGAGGAAGGGAGGCGACGATTTGGGAGGGGGACACTTTGTTCAGTACTTTTTCTTGCAGTTCTGGGAAAACTCAGGCTGCCGTTCCCTGGAGCTCAGGGCAGAGTGGATTCCAGTTGCCACTCTGAAGTGCTCATTAGAGGATTAGCCATTGCTCACCTGTAATCCCAGCACTGGCAGCGGGGGGGGGGGGGGGGGGGGGGGCTTGTAGTTGTAGAATATTATTTGAAGATGTGTCACATTTGTTTGTGCTGTGGAACATTTGTTTAATGATACAAAGATGTGTTGCATTCTTTTATATTGCATTGGTTGAACCCTGTGAAGCTGTGTTACTGTACCTGTCTAAAACGTCTGATGGTCTAATAAAGAGCTGAATGGCCAATAGTGAGGCAGGAGAAAGGATAGGCAGGGCTGACAGGTACAGAGGATAAACAGCAAGCAATGGAGTAAGAAGTAAAGAAAGGTATACAGAAATGGAGGAAGATAAAAACTCAGAGGCAAAAGGTAGATGGGGTAAGTTAAGGAAAGCTGGCTAGAAACAAGCCAAGCTAAGGCCAGGCATTTATAATTAAGCATAAGCCTCCGTGTGTGATTTATTTGGGAGCTGGGTGGCGGGCCCCGCAAAAGAACAAAAACAACCAATAACAGGGATGACAGAGACAGGCTGGGTTCCAGGCCGGTGAAAGACTCTGTCTCAAAAAGAAGGGACATGGCTGTTGAGGAATGTCGCCTAAAGCCGACCTCTGTTGTTGGTTTGAGGGAGAAATATCCCCCACAGGATTCAGTATTTGAAAACTTGGTCTCCAGATGATGGTGATGTTTGGGGGAGGTTTAGGAGGTGCAGCCTTGTTGGAGGAAGTGTGTCGGTGGATGTGGGCTTTGAGATTAGGAGCCTCATGCTACACCTGGTTCACTCTCTCGGCTTCATGCTTGCAGATGAGGATGTGAGCTCTCAGCTTCCAGCTCTGGACACCATGCCTGCCTCCGTGCTTCCCCACCATAACAGACTCTCATCCCTCTGGAACTGTAAGCCAGAATAACCCCTTCCTTCCATAAATTGCCTTGGTCATGTTTTTTAATCACAGCAATAGAAAATGAATCAGTACAACCTTTGACCTGCATACACTCTCAATAAAAAATAACCTCCCCATACAAGCTGAGGCTCACTGCAGCTTCATGGCAGGCAGCCAGGGGGGCTGTTCTGTTGCAACTGGCTTCCTGGTTAGGCTGCCTAGGAAGGCTAGTCTCCCCTGTGTTTACAAAGGTTTTTTTCCTGGCAGAGAAAAATGACAGTCTAGTTCCTGAAATCTAATCTGGGGGGGCAGAGGCTGTCAGGGCAGTCATGATGAAGTGGTAAGTACACGCAACACGTGTCTGGTTGATTGTGGCTGAGGAAGGTGACCCGGAGCCAGAGCCAGTGCAGAGGGCTCTCCAGGGTGTGTGCACCGCATACGCGCTTCTTTGGCAATGCGGTGTACTCCTAGCTAAGGAATTCAGAGGTGCTGATGATGAGGGCTTAGAGGAGACTGCTTTTACCCGGGTAGCTCCTAGAGAACCTTTCATTTATTTGAATCGTGTCTTAGATCTGCCCTCTGTGATCAAATTAATGAAGAGAAGCACACACACAAAGCCCCTTGGTGCGGGATGAAAAAAGACATCAGGCTCAAAGGAAAGGGGGAGAGTGAGTGAGCAGAGAGTGTCTGAAGGGCTCCTGGACCTTGCTGCTGCCTGGCAGAAGCTTCGCAGGCGAGGGCGGAGCCGGCTTCTTCTCTGTCTAGGGAGATGCCACAGGAGGGAGGAAAGGCTGCCATCTCACAGAGCCCCACTAACATGGTGGTAGATGCTGTGTGAAGGCCTCCCCAAGAAGACCTGCCTTTCCTGCATAGCCCAGTTCCTCCCGTCAGCCAAATATTGTTATTCTTGGATTGTTTTTTGGAGGGGGAAATGAGCGTGGCAGGAAGCTAGGGGATGAGGGAGGGCCTAGTTGGGTTGGGGGTTGTGTCTGTGCTCCGGGAAGTGAGAGCATAGGATCAGCCACAGAAGTGATTCAGGTGACACAGTGGCTGGGGCTGGAGCTCAGTGGTAGAGTGCCTCGTAGCATTCATAAAGTTC